ACATTAAGAACATTTTATATTCCGTCATAACAGCTTTTCATAGGCACGCATTCAGATAAAAATTTATTTAAAATCATCGAAACACTACGCAGAAAAATCATCGAGAATTCATAATCAACATAATTTTTAACACGCATTTCGAGCACACGTGACTGAGTAGGGTTACTTCACCTCTACGAGACATAAAAGAATTTTCCGGAATCAAAAGGAAATACTCGAGGCGAAATAACAACGCGTTTATTTATAGTACTCCGCGGCGCGAGACAAACACGCTGCCCGATTATCTGATAGTTTGACATTGACACGAGGGGATAACGAAATCTTACTTTCCGTTACGCGCGATCGCGTGAAAATTGTGTCTGACGTGAGGGCGTCGCGCGGCGCCGCGGCATGCTGATGATCCACGGATACGTGATGACCCACAGACCCCCGCTATCATCATCTCCACCTCAATCCTCATCCTGCTCGCGCTATCAATCGACAACATTATCGGACCCGATTACGCGTGAAACATTCACGGAAATTCGAAAAGAGGGTGGCGGATCGCGACGACAAACGGTGTCTCTCGTGGATCACGGACGTGTCGATCTCCCGAGCCATGCTCGCGATCCATTTTGCGGCTTCTTCTGCGTGCCAAAACGACCGGTGATCAAGACGTTATCATATATACTCTCCATAGTTTTAAGAGGTTGATTTTTTTATGAGGTCGCGGAGCGCCTTATCTCGCCACGGTGGTCATCGCGAAACCGCAGTATGCTCCAATCGGCTTGTCCCGGACGCCAATTCGATCGGCGAACGTTAGCGAGGATCATGCCGATCCGGATGGCACGCGTTCCCGCACAAAGCTCGCAATTGTAGAGCGTTGAGAGGATTTACGAAACTCACCACGACACAGCACAGCACTGACGACATGCCGCCATGTTGAATGTCAACATTCGGCGTTCGCATACATCCAACGGGAGCGACCACGAGTTTCCTGTGCGCGCGCGCGCACGCGCGCAGCTGAGAGCTGGGATCCAGGTTGAGCGCGATGTCGCGATGGAAACGGGCTTAAAGTGTCATTACTGATTATGGTTACGTTGGCTTTGTCGCTCACAACGCTTGTGAGCATCAATTGTCCTTGTTTAATATTTAATATTTGCTAAACAACAAGGATGAAACGACGCTTAAAACATTGTGAATGCTAAAACGAACACAGCCTATATGGGAGCATCAATAAGCATTTGCGCAGAAATTTATTGCGCACGATTCTGAATCTTCTGACCTCAGTTATATTATATAGAATTTTTTTGGCATATGTCTAATGTATTAAACATTAATTAATTATATCTTAATTTGCATTATTAATCGTTTCTGCATTTACTTCGTTTTGCTTCTGATTTCAGTTTTGTAATGCAAAACAATAAATTAAAAGAGGTTATATTTTGATATGTACTGTTCTAATTAATACTGAAAATTTATATTTGTTTACATTATATAATGTAAACTACAAGATTCCTCTATCAGCAAATGTAATTAGATCCAATGCATTTCAGTAAAATTATTTAACATATTACTGCGCATGCTCTGATGCTCAACGCTCTCATGTGAAAGTAGCTTAAAAGCACTTGTATATAAAGTGTGATTTTTCATACGCAGCATGCTGCAACATATGATTATTGACAGCAAAATATGATTCAAATTTTCGAAAAACACGATTTGAAGTGAGTCACCTCAAGAAAAATTTTTAACCAATAATAGCAGCATGTTATCGCAACATGCTGCGCATGAAAAGTCAGTTGAAGATTTTGTAGTTTTCTTGATTTTTCTTAAATCGATACCACGTGCTTCTAGACTATTCTAATGAGGAATTAAGGGAAAGACCAATTATATTAAAGAATTTCACAACAATTACAAAACTACTTTTTCTGCTGAACGCAGCTATTGGTTATCGAATGTTTCCTGAAGAATGTTTTGAACTAAACTGTGCGATTAATTTAATCAGCGATTAACGCTCGGTTTCACCAATAAAAGATTAACTTTAATGCTGGTTTATCTTCTTCTAATTCTAAAAATTAAAAAAAAAGAAGCAAATTAACTTTTACTTCTTTTACAGACGAGATTAAAGTTAATCTCTACATGATAGAAACAGGCTAGAATTGCTTAAAACAAATTTGCCAAATTATACAATTATACGATTTATTGTGTTCCTATTTAATGTTTTATATTAATAAAAAATTAATAATTTATCTATATTGAAAAATAATGTAAGTTAATTGGAGTTTGGAAGACATCATTCTAATTAGAATAACTTCGAGATCAAATTATCTTAATTAAATTAACTTAATCAGTACTTTTATTAAGTGACAAATAAAGCTATTAAATTAACAAAATTATGTTTAATGTGTCGATAAAAGATTAAAACAATAATTTGTACATTAAAGATTTTGTCTTAAGTGACCTATAAATTAAGTTAACTGCTGATTAAGTTATTCAAAATCACTGTTACTGCAAATATTTTTACCAACGCAGATTAACTTTAATTTCGATTTAATTTACTCTTATCTTTCTCTAATCCTTAGTACTAAACTTTTACATTAAATCGATCATTTTTCTGAAATATATTTTATATTTTAAATATATATGTATATATAAACACACATACACAAATATATACATATTCAGAATTGATTAGTAACGGCAGATTTGTTGCTCAAACGTTTTTATTCCGAGAACGATTAGTATAACAAAGTTGAGAGGGAGAACGAAACGAGAGCACCAATTAATTTCGAGGAACCAAAAATGTACCTCAATCTTATTTGACATATATTATGACTCTTATTATTGTGGTTCTCTCATCATTAGTATACAAAGTGACATACCTTCTCGAGCTCAACTATTCGATCATATAATTTACAGTACGACGGTCAGTTTAGTAATAGATGATTTGTGCAAAGTTTGCGCTTATTGTTAAGTGTTCAGCTTCGCTGGAGCTTCATTGTTGGATGTCCTTGCATAGATACCAAAGTGATTTAACCGACGCCAACGTAGATCTTCGGGATCGGGTGTTGGTGGGGCAGTAACACATTCGAGACTCAGCTGCAAAGCTCGTCTCAACTCATCATCTTCGTCTGTATCATTTACCAAGTCTGTTAAATGCGTTGTTTTATCGTCAGTGTGAAGATCTAATCTCAATTTTAACGTCTTGTCTACGTCATCCTCGTCACTTTGCAGACTCATCTGCAGGGCTCTAGCTAATTGCATATTTTCATCCTCTTCCTCGTCACTCTTCTCTTCTCTACTCTCGACTCTTATGGGGATTATCCTTTCACGAGGTTCGTCTGTGGATAGTCCAGGTTTATGTAAAAGCGAGGACACATTTCTGCTTGCACTCGAAGATTGTGGGACCTTCACTTCTCCCATCGCAAGAGCAGTTTTCAAAATTTCGTCCTCCAGCTTGGTGCCTAAGCGATTGCCTTTGGATGTGATTTTTGATTCCGAGTTTGGATTGCTTTTAGTTGCGACTATAGGATTTTTCAGAAGGACATCTTCGGCAGGACATTGTGGAAGGGTACCAATAACGATAAAAATAGAATAACCTGTAAGATTAGCGGTTGATTGATATACCTTTGATTGACACACTTTTCGTTAGTGTCTCACTTTGTCCTTACCTTCTTGTAACAATTGAGCTAGATACATTGTGAGATAAGTGTCTGATATAAGCTGGGGTCCACTGAGCATTGAATTTAAATTAAACCATTGACTTGCAAGTTTTCTTATCGTAAACCAATGCCCTTTATAATTACAAATATATGCTCTCATCCGTCTGAAAATTATATTGCCATTACATGTATTATCTTATAAAATTATTATAAATAAAACTACTTATTTTATATCATTGAAAAGTGAACACCTGATATAAATAATATGATATAAATAAATATATAATATAAAAAAAAACAAGTGTTAATTTGTATTATGATGTTGTAATTGTTGTAAAAACAATGAAATCTTTAGAAAATATGCTCTTCTACGAGCAATAGAACAAAACATATCAGGACACAACACAAAATAGACTCAAAATTTTTATTTATGTAAGTACTTATAGTCAAAACTCAAAATAAATTATCAATAACCTACGAAGGATCATTCTGTGCCAATAACGCTGTTGGTTCCGTGCTGTTATATGGAATCAGTTCTAAACCCCAAACTTTCAAAGCACTGCTAATAACTTGAACTGAAAAGTATCCACTGTCATCCATGTTTCCCGATGGTTGCTAAACATAAGAAGCAATTCACTGTTATTACAGAGAGTATTTGCTCAGCTCTTGGTAAGAAATAATAGCAAGGTCAAGCGTTTATGTCTATCAAAAAGAAAATTTTCAAAGAGTGTATGTTTTTTCTATAATATCAATTTTCGTATGACACTGCTATCGTCGAGTATTCAGTAATTGTATGCCGAAAAGCTTTGATATGCGACGTCGTGTTTACCTCGAGAAACAGCTTGTAGTCCTCACTGTCGACGCCCGACTCGGCCATCCGGATTCTTTCCTCCTCGTCCATTTGATGACCAAAATTCGCTAGGTCAACGGCGTTAAAGTACGGGCCTTGCAAAAGCGCGTTCAGGCAGTGCTGGGCGCACAGGTATCCCTCTTGCTGCGAGGAAAAAACATCACTAAAGAACATGAACACGATCTCCGTCGCTCGCGATAGAATTGATCGCCGTTACGGCGGTGTCTTTTACCTTCTCGTGAAATATACTCTCCATTGCACAGTTTGCCCGGTGATATCGCGGATAACGCAGAACCCCGCGTCCGTCAGACGCGTAATAATAATCGTAAATATAATGTCCCTCCGCCGATCTCGGCCGCAGGTGAGAACGTCATCCACAAAAATATTTTCAGCCTACAGTCATGAACAACAGATAACCATTGTGTCGCGCCAAAGAGAAACCTGAGAGAGGCCATGCCGGCTTTTTTTCCTGTTACCGTCGAAATTGCCCGTACACTACCGCCAGTACATCCATTTTTAATTTGAGAACTACGTGCCTACATGCATTTCTGATACTATCGATAAAATCATATCGTCGAAAGTAGATGTGGTTCGTGTCTGTACTAAATCCTCAACCTGAGAGAGACTCAGTCTTTTTCATAGAACTTATATCGTATATGATTATCAATCATATTAGCTGTTCAGCACTTTCAGCAGAATTGACCAATTCAGCAGAGTTGACACTGAATCGACCGATTAGCTTAATCAGAGTTTGTGATCGGGCCTAAGTTAGTATACAATTGCTTTAATGTGCATTGAGTGCGCACTAGTTCTGTCAGTGAAAAACACTAAAGTTCCAAGGGGTTAGATTCTGTTAAACAAAGAAGAATTATTTATACTTCAACGTACATACATCTCATCACATTGACGTATTCGTATAGAGGTGACAGAGTTAAAGGGAAAAGATAAACAGGAAATACACAACGGGTAAAATAACAGAAAACTAAACGGCGAGAAGAAAAGTTTCTACAATAATAAAAATATTCAAATCAAGTGTCAAGTCTGTGGCAACAAACAATGCAGGAAGAGCAAAAAAATACTCCAAAATTAGGAACTATTCGAAAGTAAAATTATTGTTTTGTTGCAAATTATATTTAAATTAGATGAAAAATTTCATCAAATTTCAACAAATACATACATACAAATTAATACAATGCATGTTTTTATAGAATTCGCAATGCTGCAAGTACACCAGATGTTGCAAGAAATCTGTCGGATACTACCTTATCTGCTTTACATAATATTTCTAGAACCACTTCTCGTAATAGAGTAACTTTGATGCCAAGTGACATTGCACAGTTACAGAGTAAGAGTTTTATCAACATCTTTTTTTTTACTTTTCTTTGATAATGCTTTATTTATTACATTTTAATATTGTGTTACATAGAAGTGCCAAGAAAGAAGATTGTTGTAGACAAACAACCAATCATGCCATCACAGATAATATTGGATGCACAAAAGAAAACGGACAGTGAAGAATTAGAGCTTGGACTTCTTTACGATGAATATTTACAAACTATGATGATGGATCTCATAATGAAGAAGAAGATTCTAGAGAAAAAGCGTCTAATGATCATGCAAATGGCTGCCATGGCACAAGAGATTGATCAAGATACACAAAAATTGATTAAAATTAAAACAAGGGAACGTGATATAATAAATTTAAGTTTAGCACAAAAAGAAGCAGATGTTCAACTGATTGCAATGACAAAATATACTGTGTTCAAATGTTTTAAGAAACACTGCAAATCTAATAGGATCGAAAGGCGAAATGTATTGTGCTGTTAATGCTGGATTGAAGAATTTTACTGAAACATGTGACGAAATAAAAAATCTTCAAAAAAAGTAAGTTGCAAATCTTTTTTAATTTACTTATTTTGAATTAATATATATTAATACTTATGATTATATATTATTTATATTTATATTTGTATTTTTCAGATTGGAAGAAGCACTGTGCAATTTACAAGTATTGATGCTAAAAAATGCTTCACTTTCATTGGCATGCGATGACAGTGGGTAGAGACATGTTGGAATTGTTGTTTGAAGAAATAGAATTACATAAAAATATGAAAATTGAATGAATTGGAAGCTTTTTTGTACAATTATTACATAAAATGTACTATGTGTTGTTGAAATTTACGGAACAATTAAATTTAGTTGAATAAAATCTATTTTATATTTTTGTAGAATGGTGTCAAAGTTATTTTCTTTCTATGAAATAAAAGAGAGAACTTAAGATTTTTATGCTCCATTCCATAAATAAAAATATAAAATTTCATAATTATTTTTATTTGGTTACAAATGATGTAGCATCATCAATTAAGTTTGTTAAATAATCTTTTTAAGATATTAGATCAATGTGGAAAGGATAACATGAGGAGCTTTTCAACAAGCGACACTATACAATCGATGATTACCCCATCTTTGTTTAACATTGACGAACAACAAGGATACAATGATTTACCGTGCCATCTATACAAAGTTCTCATGGTGTATGCAATTGGACAATGGCCTAGTTTCCATCGAGAGTTTAATCCGGATCAGAATGTAAAAATCAACCAACTAAAGTCGAGTATTCCCCTGTTACAGTCAAACGACAGGGGAATGCTCGACTGTAGTTGGTTGATTCTTACATTCTGATCCGGATTAAACTCAGGGTTTTGGAAAACCCATGGCAGAGAGAAAACTGAAATGGGCCATGCCGGCCTTTTTCCTGTTACCATCGAAATGCCGAGTGTATGGCAATTGTCCATGATCCAATTGCGCACAAGCTAATCAGTGCTAAAAAAAAAATAATCCAAAATTCTCTACGTAGAAGTCACTGTGATTGGCAATTGCTACAATGTGCAATTGAACTGTTCCCCCGAAATATTCATACACTACCGCCAGTACATCCAGTTTGAGAATTATGTGACTACAGGATAGAAGCGTGCCGATTATCTTTCAAAATAATCTACTAATATGAATGGAGCTTTCCAGACACAATTGATACAAATCATCCTGTCTTTGTTCGATAATTAGTAAGAAACAAAGACAGAATGACGCTTGAGGCTCGATTTATGCCTTTGCTGGAAAACTTCCTTAGGTCTAGAAAAAGACGAAGAGTAAGTTGAACCGAGATTAAAGTTAATCTACATTGATAGAAACGGACATAAATCACTTCAATATTCACAAGAACGTGAACTCCCGTAAGGATGTCGGTCTTTATTAGTATCTCGTCGGTGGTTCAGCTAAAAAGAACGAACAAGCCTTTTAATTAAAAAGAACAGACCCGTGCTGACGTTCGATCACGTGATCTGTCAACATCCGGTCAGCCGTTTCCGGATAGAACGCGCGCACATTTTTGAAGACCGGATCGTACATTTCGTATTTTGACGTCTGCAAGACATCGATTTCTCACCGTCCTCACCTCGGACTCGCGGCGAGTTGTTATAAATTATTGAAAGAATCTCTACAGCGTGTCGATATTGCGCGCTGTTTTCCATTGACATTTGAGGGAAATTAAAACTCCATTAATTCCGTGCGTCACGTATTTTTCATCTTCTCCGACGTGGCCACCGTCTTTTATTTTCTCACGGACGTTCCGTCACCTGACAGATTCCTTTTTATCGAAATCAGACGATCACGTACGACCGATCGCGGCGCTATCCGCTTCTATCCGCATCCTTGTATTGTAAAAAGTACCGTTACGCGTCATACGTATATACGGCTATATACACGTGAGTTTCACACTGTGTATGTGTGTGAGTAGTGCGACTACGATCGTGCGCTGTGCGCTTCGCGACAGCTCGGCTCATTCGGCTGTATCGCCGAATACAACTGCCGACACTTCGGAGGCTCTAGCAGAACTGTCAGTGTCCGGTCCGTTTTATTCTGTTTCTCCCTACGACGGTTTTTGTTTCACCTCTGCCACCCTTCTGCGCGAGAATGCGAAACCGCGGACGAACGTAGGACACGAGTCTCCTTCCGAGGAAGGTACGGCGGCAGAAAGACGTATGCCTGCTCCGCGAACAGGCCGCGGTTATGTTTTTCGATGGAGAGTACTTTAGCGACAATGGCAGCAACGTCCCCGTCGAAGGTACGTTGAAGGTTTTCCATCCCCTCTTCCCCTGTAATTTTCCATCCGTGTAATCACGGGGACGCCAGCCGTGTAATTGGGAAACAATCGAAAAATTGAAAGAAAGATTAGATAGAGTATTTACTTCATTTACGACTCGCGAGAGAACCGAACAAGCATAATTCTGACGGACATTGCGAGACAAAATGGAAAACGTACGGACTTGACAAGAACCTGTTCCCTTATCGTCAGATCGTTATCACTGAATAATATAAATTGTCAATCGCGCTCATTATTGATACAGTTGTTCTTGATTTAGGAATTGAACGAATGTACTTTGGACGAAGAGTTTTATGAACAAAGATTTTTATTGTCATAGTGCGATTGTATTCATCTTTAGACACATATTAATTAATAATTTTTAATTTTTTGCTATTTACCATAAATGGCTCAGTCAAATAATGCAGTTTCATTTTTTGTGCAACAACTTTGCAACAATCTCTGTTGTTTATATTAACATATGTTGTTTATATTTAACATATGCCAATAATTTATATTACTTAACATATGCTAAATAGAAACCTTTATAAAAATAAAATTGTCGACATAGACATTAATATATATGTCTCTAATAAAAACATGTTTGCATTATACCTCTTTGAACAAAGTAGTTTTTTCCAATTTTAAGATTGTTTGATGTTTGTTGTTTTTTATAATAGCTTATATGTAGTTTATATTATTTAGTATATGCTGAATAGAGCATCTTTATGTAAAATTATCTATTTATATAGACATTAATACTTATCTCTAAAAAAAACATTTATATTATGTCTCTTTAACTAAAGTTTCTTCTATAAGATTATTTAATATAAAAAAATGTTACATTCAATGAATTTGTTTAATATCCTAGAGGAGACTGCAGAAGGAGTTGATGTCTTTAATACGTGAGCCTCCACCAGGTGTACACGTTGATGCAGAGTTGGCTGGACAAAATTTGACGCAATGGATCGTCCACATGGAAGGTGCCAAGGGCACGCTGTACGAGGGGGAACAATTTCAGCTTCAATTTAAGTTTAGTTCAAAATACCCGTTTGATTCGCCAGAAGTGACTTTTATTGGTGAAAATATCCCTGTACATCCACATGTCTATAGTAATGGTCATATTTGTTTATCCATATTAACGGAAGATTGGTCTCCTGCTCTCAGTGTGCAAAGCATCTGCCTGAGTATCATTTCCATGTTAAGCAGCTGTAAAGAAAAGGTGTGAGATTTAATTGTTAAAACATATGTGAGCTTTAATTCGATACATAACGTATGTACTTTCCATGTAGAAGAGACCACCTGACAATACATTTTATGTGAAAACTTGCAACAAGAATCCAAAAAAGACAAAATGGTGGTATCATGGTAAGAAAAATTGTTTTATATTACACATTTCAGAGTCTAGTATTTTTATTATATTGTTAAATCCTTGTCCTATATAACATGTGCAATTAGTTGTATTCTAACTAATTATATGTAAAAGTACAACTTTGTAAAATGAATAAAATTAATGTTTTTTTTTAGATGACAGTGTCTAACATTGAAGATCATATAAAGATCTTGTCAACTTGTCAACATTTGTTGGACCAAGTGGGATAACATCCAAATATGGAACCTGACACATTAAATCAATAGAATTTTTGCATATAATATTACATTATATAGTAAAGTCAATATAACAAGAAATTAGTACTTTTAAGGAAAGACAAGGCTACAACTTACTTATTATTATAATTATAGAATTAATGCAAACTGCGTGAATTGTTTAATCATAAATTATTGCAATGTTGCTGATAGCGAAGCATATTTTAGTTATAGAATTATTATCAGGATCAGTAAATTAATGCTAAAAAGACAGATAAATAAAAAGGTATTATTTATTATTAAATAAGATATTAATATATAAAGTTTTCTCTCTTGTTACTCCGAATTTATGGAGATTCCTGATGTACATTAAAATCATTTAATAAATTTAGAAATTATGAAAAACATGATAAATATATATATGCATACTATATTACAATAGCTATATAATTTAGTAATTTACTTTCTGTTGCTTTTAATAAAACTTAAATATTGAATTATAATCTTGAATTATAATTTTATACATTTGACATATTTTGCTTAAAATATGGTGGTAAATATACTACTCTTATACCTTGATTTCTATTTACAATAACAAAATGTGATTAAGCGCAATATATACTTTTTTTAAATAAGTAACTTAAATGTTTTATCTTTTTAAATATGCAAACTATATTTTTTAATACATTCCTCTCTGTTGCATTAATTTGTTTCTTTTAAATTTTTTGAGGCTACCACTTAGATCTATCGGGTCTGTTCTTTGTCGCTGTATTAAAACTTTCTTCTTTAAATCAGCTAAATTCTACTAAAAAGATCATGGTACTAATAGCAAATATGTTAAATATGTTAAATAAATTCCATACTGCTACTAAAATTTTTCATCTCGTTTTCGTCAAAATTTAAATATATATCTATTTTTTTAAGTATAATACTATATATTAGTTCAGATACAAAGATCAGGCCTGTTAATAAATATTATGTATTTAATAAAGTAAATATCGTATTTAAACAAATACAGTGAGAGTTGATATATAATAACTCGTATATTACATTTTTTAATATTAGCACTTTTACAACCTAGTTGTGATTTTATTTAAATATATATAATATATTTAATATGTATAAGATATTGTCATGCTATGTTCTTTTAAATAAATTTTAAAAGTTGTAAAAGTTTAATTTACATATATATAATAATAATTTATTAGATGTGCTATTTTATATAAAATAAGATGGCATTGATAATAATATATAATGTGAGATTAATTAATGACACTGCAAATATCAACAATTGGTACAGTCTGTTTTAAAATTTTTGTGTCATGTAATTTTATAATTACATCATTACATGTATTAGTTAGTAAAACATTTTGTACATTTATTAAAAATGTAAAGTGACGTGATATTAAATTTCTTAATAACATTTAATGGCTTTCTTCAATCATTGAGTCATCGCGTCTTACATGTGTGTGCCTGTGTGTATGTGCGTGCGCGTGTTGTGTATGTGTGTATTATATATATATAATTTGGCTATATAATGTATGTGCGAAGCACAACTCTCATGAGAAAATAAGTTTTAAGAAAGATAACTGATATATAATCAAATTGGAACGTACAGAAGTAACTACAATAAAATAATTTATTAGAAAAATGTTTTATGCAATTATTACTTCATATCTTATCACATTGCAGTAGTGATATTTTATTCTTTTTGCTCTATTAGAGCACTGCCGAATATTTATCCTTTCAAAACTATTAGTCAATCAAAAATAGTTAATGTTTCTGGAAAACATATTTTGTACACGCATGATCTTTTAATGCATAATCTCTTTCTATAATAAATTATTTTTATCTTCGATATAAATATTATTCCTTAACAATAAATACAATACAAGAGGATATAGTTGATAATGAAGATAAAAGTTTATTTTGCGTTTGAAAAGAAAACTCTGCTTTTATCTTAAGAGCATGGATCTTTTATTAATCGTATAATTATGAAATCAATTTTGATATTAATATCAATTGATCTACGTTAATATAATATATGACAAGAAAATTGATACTGTTATTTTTATTGTTTGAATAATTTTCTGTGTAAATTGATGGTAATATTTTAATTAGCGATAAGATTTATGTGTCATTTCTACTTTTTTAATCTCCCTTTTCTATAATTGTTAACTGTTGTAAATTTATTTTTAGTTTCATCTTTATCAAATCTTCAGTAAATGCTAATATCAATATACTACTTTCGAAATCTATAATTCCAAGAAACGACTTTATTTGTGCTTCACAGTTATTTTCGTGATCAAATATATTTTCAGAAACTGCTGAGAAGTGAATATTTATTTTGTGTAGTACATAATACATTTACATGAATTTTTAATAAAATACAATTTTTATTTAAAGTTTCTTTAGTCATATTAAATACAAATAAATTTTAATCGCAATTCAATAGCATTTAGACTGAAAACCAATAAATATCATAAATCTTGCATTTTTTATATAATTAACTATTTTATAAGCAAATAATACGGTTATATTATATATCTGTCTTTTTAAAATATTTAACAAAAGTATTTTAATTTCTAAAATCGATTCTCCCGAAATAATTTAATCTACGTTTTCGATTTATTTTCTGGTTATATTATAATTTTTGTCATCTTTTTATATATTAATTAAATTATAATAATTAACGATGTGTTAAACGTGTTTAACTCGACGCTAATTATGATATGTTTTTATCTTATTAACAAGTGCAACAACAAGAAGGAAGATATTCTGATTGAAGAATTATCATTTTATATATATATTCACACGTGTTTATCATATACATACATATGTATTTTTATTGATGTTGCAAAACCATTATCAGCACATTTTAATCACATGCTTTCATTTATTATCAATTCGCTGTAATTTATATCGAATATTTATGTAGGATTAATATTTTCTATTATTCAATATATATATAATATATATATATTTATATAAAGATATCGATATATATATCGATATCTTTATGTAAATATATTCACTTCAGTTTGCAATCACATTTTATCCAGAAAAATCTGATATATTATCTGCAGGTTGAAGTGCTATTAGATTTTGCAGAGATATGAAAAAGCTTAAAACGTTATCTTTCGAAATTTAGTTGTAAGATATACACACGCAATACTATTATTTTAATTCCAAATAGAAAAAAATACGCTGTTTCTCCTAATTCGTGACAATATAATTGTATACGATGTGTACACAATATCTCCATAATAATCCGATATACATAATTCTCCACAATATCTCTATAATAATCCGATATATATAATTCTCCACAACATAATTAGTGCGAAACGCACTCATCTTTTATTTTTAATCGCAAAAAATTACAATATAAACATAGATATTTTGTATATGCTATTAATTTGATAGAAATCTTCGATCATCAAAAGAAAGATACATTAAATCATTATTTGGCTCCACGAAAAAGACTAAAGTTATGTCATGACGTTATCGCATATACATGCATATTGGTGCTGTATCGTTAAGAGAAAGAGGCAAAGAGTGGGGCCAACAATTTCCGAGTATGTCTGACGTCTGACAACGCGACAGCAGTCCATTTCGTATCAGAATGAACGGAGATAATACCGCCATTACGGATACTGGATAATTGATTCCGTCGGTAGTTTGTTTGCCAACGAGTACTTGACAAGTGGCTTGCTGCTTCTAAAATCTATTCTTTTCGATAAAAAAAAAACGACCGTCGCGTGCATTTTGAAATATATATACAGGAAATATCACATTATATTTACGATAGTTTTGTTATAAAATACGCAGTGCAGTTTGTAGTGACGTAGATTCAGTGAAAATACTGTGCGATATGGTAGTGTCATTCGCGTATCATCACAGGAATCTATACTGGTGTTATTGTTCGAATTAAATACGGGAATATTATACAAAAAGGAATATCGTGAACGTTGTACCAATTCTCTGCTTTTCTTTCCTCATTTTGTTAATTCTTGCGAATGAGCGCTCTTTATGATTCCACCTCCATCGTGTGTCGTCCTTCGACAGTCGTGTGGCGTCATCGCTGAAGCCAGTATCTGTCTGACTAGTCTGACAGTGTCGTAGGATCAACAAAGATAACTGATAGTGACCAGTTGAATCGAGTCTTGTCTTGTTTGGATTATATATATTTTGTTTCTGCGGATCAGTGCATTTTTCAATAGCAAGTGGAGTCAACGAAGTGGTGGAGTCGAAAACTGTTGGGGACCAGTTTGAATAAAATTTTCCTTTCCGAGAAAACATTTTCCATGGTGACGGCATCATGTCGTCATAGATTATTGTTGGTGGATTTAGTGTTGGCAAAGTGACCGCCGCCAACACAAAAGATGATTTGTGCGAGGTAATCTTAGTATGAGTCAGTTAATCCTTAATTTAGCGCATAATGCGGATTGTTGCCGACCGGCTACACTGATTTGGGACATTGAGTTGGGATTTTCCTCGGGATTTTCTGATCAAGCTTACTATTTGTTTTTTATTTTACCGAGTTTAATAAAATAGTTACACTTTATTTTTAATAAAATAAGATTCCTTATATTAAAACAATTAACAAATTATAAATACGACGTGAACGATTATTTATAGATTATTATTAGGTGTTGGAATTAATTCGTAGCGTTTTACAAGTGATGGGAAGTACTTTCATTAATGTATTTTTTAATGCTCATGTGAAATAAATAACATTCTTTCATTAAAAACGCTACGAATTAATTCCAACACCTAATATTTATAGAGGTTTGTTTTAGATCAATCGAAATAAACGCGTAATTATTACAGCGCCAATTCCTAAAGGCCAATTTGTAATTTGTTAATTGTTTTAATAAAATACTTTAGATATGTTCTCTTCCATTCACGATGAACTTTGTTTCTACAGTTAATGTATAATTTTTCAAAACAAGATATGAAATTATTAGGTCTGTTCTTTTTAGCTGAACTTTTTGTATGGTTTATCTTTTTTCTTTTTTTTTCAATACGGAGAGAAAAAGAAAGATAAACCATGTAAAAAGTTCAGCTAAAAAGAACAGACCTATTATCTATTATAATCGAAGATTAAATAATTTTACCTGAGCAAGAGTTACCATGTTAATTAGACACTTGCCATTGTGATATAGATAAGTAATTGATCAATCAGATTTGAGCGTAACTTATATTCTGCAATAAAATATATTTTAAACGATAAAGATATGATATTACGACGTTTAGTCCACGTTCCTTCACCGTGTTAGTATAATCAATGTTCATAATTTGCTTACGAAGTAATCAATTCGTTATAGATGTTTTGTACGCCTCATCGTTTTTTAATTTGCCGTTCGCTTTTATTATACATACTTTATCTGAAACACATCTCATTGTGATTAGCGTGAATCTCCATCATCTGTAGAAACAGAGTTAAATAAATATATTATTAATATTTATACAAGATAATATAATTTTACTGAAACATTTACGTATTAATCGCGACGTATTTTTAAAATAACGATTACGATAAAAAATTCGATATCAAAAGATATTGACGTACATTAGTATGACTACACAGTATATATTCGCAAAAACGTGTTCGTGTTAAAAAAAACACGCTCGTGATGACACCATGACTCATCAGAATATGATATCTCATACATTCCAGCAATATTACAAGCTTCTGTGCTGTATGAGATTATTTATTTACTAAATCTTTATAATGAATGAAAATATTTAATGTAGGTATGCATCTAATCGACGATTAAATATAAATATTCGTAAAATTAAAATTTATAAGTGCGATTTCTATCTCGTATGCAGCATGTATAATATTGGATCCTTGTTTCATTAACAGCTAACGAAGTTTAAATAAATTTATCAAATACTAGATTTTCTTTTTAATCTGTTTATTTAAATTTCTTATCAATATTATTTACACTGTACTTTAATTGTACTTTAATTTGCGAAGTTTCGATCTAATTTTGTTTATTCTCCACTAATCGCGTTTTATAATTTACATAATTTTCTTGCTTGAAGTATTCTATTGCTGTATGAAACAAAGACCCAGCAGACACATCCGGTAGTGTTGATTAGAAATGAGTTATTACATTCCTCAATGATTTTAATCAATCATATGAATTGCCAGTTTCGACATTAGTCAATTTTAAGCATAATTCAAATTATTCTGTTTTTTTCAAATTTTACAAGAATTGGAAAACACAATGTTTTCAATTAAATAAAATTACAAAGCCTGATGAAAAATTTTGAATTTGAATATTTTGAACATGAATAACTAAGATGAATCATTTTTAAGATAAAAATCCTTTTCGCAAACTGTTAAAAAAAAATCCTATATTAACATAAAATCATATTTTCTTTGTGCTATATCTCAATCTGATTTTTTTCTTATACGAGAAGAGAGAAAAATTAAACTATTAAACAGCACATTTATATTCTAATACAGAAATGAAAGGATCATAAAAAACAAATTTGACAAATTTATCTAAAAATAACTATAATTATTTCTCCATAAGCGCATTCTGCTACATGTGACGTTTAGCATTTTAAAACATATTCGATGTACAAAAAGATGAATTTTCCGCGTAGCGCATTGGTATGGTGACATTGGTACAACAGCAGCAGCCAACGCTCGACGGTCATCAGTGTCAAAAAGATCAGGACCACGTGGTGAACGATGGTGCTGTTGTGTCTGCCGAGAATCACGCAATCGACAAGTTTCACGGCGAAGCTGCGCACTCGGCGAGAGAAACCGCGGTCGTCGCTCCGGGCAATGGTAGTGTTGGAGATTCCTCTACGCAGTGCAGTGACGTAGACGACGATGAGGAAGAGGAGACGGACGTCGAAGAAGGCGGCAGCTGGATTACGAATCTGCCGGTATCCTCGACTATCGTTCAGCAACATCAAGCGGTTGCCACTACAAACGGCGATGTCGTCCTACCGAATGCCGATCCGTCGAATTTTGGTGATGTTTGTGTGAAAAACTCAACGAATGTGCATCTAGGTAACAAGATCTTCTACAAGAGTCCGGTTACCATAAAGCAGTTCGTTTATACGAATCCCACTCCCATCCAGGATGCGGATAAATTCGACGCCAACTGCGCCTCCGACGTTAACAACGTCTCGGATTTGTCGACGAATAAGGACAATAGAGCCGCCAACGGACCCATTTTTCCGCAAAATACTGAATTAGTTAAGGGTAATAATCAATTAGATTGTTTAGATTCGTTGTTTTTAATTTATTCTATCGTCTTTCCTTTCCGGAGCACAGATAAATACGAAATCATTAGGTAATTGAAAAGGATAAGTTTTGTTTTTAGATTTAAAATAACAGGATAATTTTATGTAAGAAATTACGCGATTTTCGCACACAATAAATTCAATTACAATGTAAATATGTTTTAAATATTTTTTGATATCATTGCAACAAGTATTTTAGTAATAAATATCTAAATAATATTAAATCGAAAAAATCAATATTCGCCTTAAAAATGTTCAATTTATATATCAATATAGAACTTAACGCATAATTACTTGTGAATTGATTTTAGAAGTAATACATCGATGAACTTCAAACATTGTAAGATAACGGTTTAGTAATGTCTTATAATAAATTCAATTGGACGTACTTAGCACACTCATGCATATTAAAATCGTTACACACAAATTAACGTAAAGATGTATCTAATATAAATGTAAAAACAGGTTAAACTGTGAAGTTCTTAGTACATTTTAATGTGTTGTTAAGTAAAATATTTGTTTTATATCCGATTAATTTATAGATAAAAAACTAATTTAATTCTTAATGTATATTATAATAAACTAGTTTATTATAATATACAGTTTTTTTAAAGATCTAATAAACGTTGCTCGCGTTTTTTGATCTTTCTAATTTTTGTAATCTCGAGCTAAATATTTTACGTATTTTAATTTATTTGCATTTTATTTTTACACTGATTAGATTAAATTAGTGTACAATTTTAATATGCATCAGTGCGCACTAATATGCATCCAATCGAATTCGCTATTATTTTATTGTTAGAGATATTATTTGATGTCACTTTGCTATGACGTGATCGATATAGCTTCATCTGATAGACTCAAAGACGTTATCAAATCAAATTCTCTTTTCATATGTAACATTAAAATGTGTACCGATAGTTATTTGAAATAATGTATACATATAATTGCATACACATATATAAATAAAGATAAATATCGTATTTTCATTACCAATTAGGTGAATCTAATAAGAATCAATGACATATGATATCATATATATCCATCTCAAAGTACTTTGATAGTTTTTTTGAAGCATACGAAGTATAATAATCAATCAAGCTGCAACAATTTTTAAAAACCATCTTAATGATATAACAAATATCATTAATTCTTTTGACTAATGGTTTTAACTGTCACAACTATGCCAGAATATAAGCGAGTTTCAATATTGTAATATTAATATATTAAATTGAAATTTGTTCTTACACTTTTAATTATTATAAGAATTAAAGTTTTACATGACTGTGAAAAGAGTGTAGAGTAACAGAAGAGTGACATCAAACAAGAATTATAAAACACGAAAGATTTAATGCAATTATACACCTCTCGCTAAACACGCGCTTTCCAGCGTAATGATCATGTAATTTTATCCAACGCTACGTAGCTCATAAACTTGTTCTAATAATCGTTCTAAATAATACAGCACTTTATAATTATATATTCTAGTGACGCAATGGCTTTGGACGTGGAGATGTGCGACTTTATTATGCGTTCTAGCTTTAATACTTCTAACTACTATAGTGGTCACATCTGTATATTTCATTCATCATCCGGACGCACCGGTCTTCCCGCAGATTCCAGATTCATCAGTCGAGGGTAATTTCATCTGGAAATTTTGCAAGCATATAAGAACAAACATTATTTTAGCGTGATTACAAAATTTAAATGTGTATCTGCGTTCTATATTTATTCTAATCTGTAAAAAGCGTGCCTGTGTTTGCATGAATCGCATATTAAAATATTTTGTATTTCCATATACTTTGCATAGTAATATTCTAGATTTCATTGCAAAAACTGGCGTAATTGTCTGATTAAGATTGTTACATTTGATATCAAATTAAAGAGTTTTTAATTAATGTATCTGCATCTTGAACGATACATTTTATTTTCCTAATTTTCAGGTGTAACTTCGGTACGCTTTGTCGAGAGAAATGAATGGGGTGCGCAGCCGCCCTTGGAACCCCTTAGAAAAATGAAGCTGCCAGTACCATATGTAATTATTAGTCACACCGCAACGGACTTCTGTAGTACGCAATCAGAGTGTACATTTCACGTGAGATTTGCTCAGACTTTTCATATAGAATCTAGAAACTGGTCGGATATCGCCTACAATTTTCTTGTCGGAGGCGACGGTCTCGCATATGTTGGTAGAAGCTGGGACTATGTTGGTGCTCATGCCTTCAATTTCAACAACAAGAGTATCGGTATTTCCTTTATTGGTACATTCATTTCGATTGTACCACCGAAATCGCAATTACAAGCTGCGCAAAAAATTATAGAGATCGGCGTCAAAGCCGGGAAAATTTCACCAGACTATAAACTATTAGGTCACCGACAAGTGTCAACAACTGTGAGTCCAGGAGACGCTTTATATAATGAAATTAAAAAGTGGCCTCATTGGTCACCTAAGCCTTAACTCAATTGTTTGGAAGTTTAAATCGTGAATAAAATACAATTTTGAAAATATTTACATTATTATTTTTTTTAAATATGTAGTTATGCATTTGTCTATTTTTTCAGCTAAACTTTTTACATCATTCAGTTTTTCTTTTTTTTTTTCATGAAAAGAAAATATGAATCGTGCAAGAGATTGTCTGTAAAGAACAGATAATAATTCCGAGTTTAGATAACAGTTGACTGAAAATATCTACGAGTCTACTACTTACACTGTCACAAACTGCTTCAAAAGTAAATCTTTTTGAAACACATAATTCAGTCTTTACAGACTTATAGTATAAATAAGTTCAATTATTGTAATGTGAGCCAATTAATGAAAGAAAAGAAATGTATATATATATATATATATATATTAAAGATACAAAAAAACATTGCACTGATCAAACTTCATAACAAAATTAACACATTGGTGGTTAAATAAATTTGTTAAAATTAAAAATCATTTTAGAAATAATATGTACAGATATTAAACAAAATATAGAAAATGTTATAATAAAATAAAATTGAAAAGTAGTCCATTTTCAAGTATCTAATAAGGAAGAAACATATTAGAATATTCCAGCAATATTGCAGTAACGTCGTAATATTACTGGAATATTATTAGGATGTTCCAGAATGTTTCTTGCTTACTTGCATACATATTTATACATTCATTGATTTATTAATATGTCAAAACACTAGATTATTCAATTCATTTGTTTACGTAAAGAAATGAAGATGCCAATAGGTTTGTTTTCTGTTTCTGCATTAGCTGCATTAATTCAAAAAGTGTACATACATGGAAGCGTTTTTGTTCTCAAAATGGTATCAGCGACGCTGGTTTTTGTTTCAACAGAATTCAGTGCACGAATTCACTGAACCAGCTACAAGATCTGGAGTACAAGTACTAATGTATGTACGAGTACAGTTCAGGCACAGAATAAAAACAGACTTGTAAAACAAATAGTGCGAGAGTTTACGAGTAATAAAACAATAAAAATATATAAATAATGATAGTAAAGTCTACATACGAAAATATTTTGTGCCATTATTATCTTCAATGAAGAAATTCTTAATGGTGGAATTTCATTAATACTTTTATTTTCATGTGAATTTCTAATATTTTCATGTAAACAATATGGAACATTTTTATCTTGCACTAGAACGTTTTTTACTCGTCAATTCTGAATTATACTAGTTCAGTTCACTTTTAGTGCAGTCTTCATGCAAGAATAGAAAACAAATCTAATGTGACAATTAATATATATATATATATATATATATTTTATAGTATGCTAAATTTAACAATTACATCCATTTAAAAATCCATTTGAATCTTAAAAAACTTGTATATATTATAAAAAAATATATTGTATATATTTAACGAGTCTCTAATTTTTTTAAATAAAGAAATATGTACATGTCCTGCTTTTGCTCATTTTTTTCCACTCTTCCAGCATTATTTTATTTTTATTCGTTCCGCATTACTATAATAATTTTATTGTAACCCTTGTAGAAAAGTATTACTGAGCACTAGGAGTATTTTGAGCAGTGGTAGGTAAGATCTCTTAAAATTTATCTAGATACAGATACAGGTATATGTACGAAAATTTATTTAAAAATGCAGATATAGATACACATAATAAGATGTATATAGATATAGATATCAGATATTATACTTTGAAAGTATCTTCAAATCATTTAAAATAGAAGCCATAACGCATAGTGCACAAGAGAATCAACCAATCAGAATCCTTTCTTTCCTTTTATTTCAAAAGAGGAATTTTTTGAAGAATTCAAGTGGACTGTAGCAATCGTAGTCAAGAACATAATAGGCCTTTTTAGCTGAACTTTTGCTGAAATTTTTTTTTCTTTCTTCCTTTTTTCTTCAGGAGAAAAGAAGAAAAGAAAGATGAACTACAAAAGTTCAGCCAAAAAGAACAGGCTTAGTGTAAATATATATAAAGGTGAAAAGCATTGTGTATAATTGCGACAGCATATTGAAAATCATATTTGTACTTAAATGCACTTTTCTGAGTATCACAGCGCTGGAATACTGGAACAGCCAATCAAAATTGCGTTAAAAATTATGCCCAAATCATTCTCCTACTGCAGCGTATCTATAGGAGCGCTTCACCTTATAATGTATAATATATTTACATCATGGCTACGAATGAGTGTACATATTGTATATTCACTGACTAAAAGGTTACAACACTTTTTTTTAATGGTTTTGGAATGTAGTCTGCTCATCGAGCGATTGGTTCTTACTTATGGATCCGTAAATAAAAACCAATCGCTCGCTGAGTAGGTTGCATTTTGAAAATCATAGAAAAAAAATCTGTTACAAACTTTTAGTCGGTGAGTGTACATTAGTTGTCCACATCGCTAATTGGCTAATTTAAAATAATCTCATTGGTGAAACAACGAAAAATTACTAGGAATCGGTAAGTTGCGTATACAATTGGACTGTGCAAGTGCGCCGCTTTCGTCAAGAACATTAAAATGGAGTTTGACTAACCAAAATGCGAGGGACGAAGGCTGGCTTCTTGGTCCCGATTGGTCGCATGCTCTGTAAGACCGGAATTGTGATGACACAAATTAACATAAGCATCGTTTTATCCTTCTTGACATTCAGAGAGTGACAAAGATAGAACGACACTTGTTCGACTTGTCATCAAATGGAAAGCACCCAAATTTTTCAAGCCTGATGATTGGCTATAGAGATTCAAGGATCTTTCTGGTTTGCACACATTTGTACGACAAATGGTATCGACGCAATAGTCGATCAGCTTTCATCACGTATCATCGTTTCCGGTTTTCCATAGAAAATCGAAGGATCGCGAAGTTTTGCTCGCGCATCGCGTCCTCCACGTTTTCCCGCGAAGCCACGCACGTGTTTTTCGAGGCGTAGCCGCACCGGCGATCAAAATCATCACGGGAAGGGGGGACGAGACGCGAGGAAACAATTTTGAAACGCATTTTTTTTTCTTTCAAGAGAATACAGGAAAAATCTTTATAGGTTTCCGATTTTTCTTTACGTACGAAATTACGTGAAAGAGCGAGGATTGATAGTGTACAGCCATGCGGCGGGTATCGACGCGTGCGGTATGTGTGCGTAAACGGCGCGTCGATTGCGCCTTTCGAAGATGGCCATTTTGGCGGGTGACGTGTTGCGTGCGCGCTGCCGAGCGGCCATAACACGTATTCACGGCGTGAACGACGTGCACGTCACTCCGTCGTTATGATAAGTCTGCGGTTACGTGTACGCGACCGTCATGGACACCTAGGACCAAATCAACGTCATGGAATGTCGAGGAAACTTGATCGACGAATGTACCGGTTAGACCGTGGACTCACAGTCGCACTCGTCGCGTACGATTGCTAGAACACGCTAGAAGGGCGAGGGAGAGGGGGCAAGGCACTATGGGAGCAATTTGCGACAGGCGCATGCGCAGATCAGTTTACAGTTGGAGCTTGAAAGAAAATGGCGTCAGCTAAGTTTCTGGAGGAAGCTCTGAGCACGGATGTCGATGAATCCGCAGTGAACGCGATAGTGGGCTCCCTCGAGACGCAGCTTGTTACGTCCACGCCGACTGTCGCCGGCCATCAAGCGAGTTCCGCATCGGTCAGCCAGCAGAATCACCAGGTGAACAGCGCTATTTCCAACGGGGGCACCATCACCGCGGTACAGCCACAGAAACATGGGGTTTCGAACGGCGGCGGTGCGACTACCGTGAATAGTCTAATGACTCAGGAGGTCACCAAGTCGATTACTACCAGCACTCTGCTGCCTGTGAACGTGGTTACCTCGAACACAGTGGCGCCACAGGTCATCACCACGCAGCAGCAGCCGCCGCCGCAGGTACAGCCACAGCAGCAGCAGCAGCACACACAACCGCCAGGAATATCTCCCGCTACCTATATCAATCAAGTGACGACTAATCAGGTGTCCAGTAATCAGACTACACATTTACCAAGTTTGACCAAGACGCACGAACCAGTGAAGCTTATCTATCCCACAGTCGGACAAGTTATTGCCACTACGGGGGTGGCAAATGCTAATAATAAGCTCTCCTTTCCCGCTCAAACTGTCGGGCAGTTAGCAAACGGTACTTTAGGTATAACGTCGCAGGCAGTGCTGCAGACTACAGCGAACGTTGTTACCAATGTTGGCTCTGTTAGCCAGGCGGGGAGCCAAACAGTGACTGCAGTGAATAAGCCAACAGGGGCAGCTTTAGTGATTAAGACAAGTGTAGCGCCTGGCATGGTTTCCGTTCCAATGTCTGTACCAGTCTCTGTGGCTGGCAATACAGTCAGCACAGCGTTACAGGCTAAGGGTGGGGTTACTTCGACGATAGTACCCAGTAATGTTCAAATCCTTAATGTAAATACGATGCGTCCTGCAACGCCGGTAGCGGGACAGCAAGCTAATAAACAAGTTACGCCAAGAGTGGTGATTGGACAACACCAATTGGTTGGAGCTAGAGCTGGAGGTCCAGGGGTAAGACGTTCCATTTAGCATTTGTTACGATAAATGATAAAGTTTCTCTTCTCTTTAATTTACATACATTTGTATAGTGTGTACAGAAGTGTATTGGAATTTATCTTGGCAATTTTATCTGTATTTGGATTTCTATATCTATGTGAAATATATTTTTGTTAAACTAATTTTGTATTTAAAATGTTATTGAGTTGTATTTAAAATGTTTTAAATATATAGAATTTTAGTACTCATATTGCTTTTTTTCTACTATTAATTTATATAATTAATTGTTCAAAGAACTTTTTATTTATTTATAATAGAAGATAAACTGTAAGAAAATATTCTGATAATATAATTAATGATTATTATCTTCAATTTTTAGATAACGTTACAGGCACTTCACAGCCTTCAAGCTGGTGCTCAAGGTCATCTGTTATTAAAAACAGAAAATGGACAGTATCAGTTATTAAGGGTGGGTCCAGCTCCAACTGCGGGTACTCCCACTGGTACTGCTGTTACACCGAATAGTATAACTGGCAATGCAGTAGTTGCTGCACCATCTCCAGGCACTACGTACCGCCTAACTTCAGTGCCGACTGTAAGTAGGCTGAATACTCAGTTCACTGGCCCACCACTCGCCACCCTAAGAAAATCTGTTCAGGTGACGCACTTTTATACCTCTTACAAGACTCGTTGTAGTGCTACTGTAGATATTTATTAGTTTGTGATTTTGTTTTCTGTGGAATGATGTTATCAGTAAGCCAATATATTTTATGTTTACTGTTTGTCCACACTAAATTTAATTACGACATAAAACTTTTACTATTAATTTATTTATTGATTGTTTGCAAACATTTTGTGCATTATATACTTAAAAGGCACAGTATATTATAATTTTTATAAATATTCTACATGCAAATTCTTTTCTGAATGCAATAGTTTTATGAGCAATTTTGTTATTGTCATCTTTAGTATCTATTTTTGTCTACATTTATTCCACATTTCATTGTAAAAATTTAACATAATTGATAACATCTCAATATTAGCTTATTTTTTGGGATGCATTTCTCTAGTAGTACGTCTAAGTTTTATGAAGTAAATGCGTTAAAGTTCAATGTCTATCCAATTTAATTGCATGAATTATTGGTTAAAGGTGTTACGTAGAAACTGCTATGTTAGATAAAAGATAAATTATTTTAAGAAAGAATATAATTGAGGACATCTATATATCTTTTATATTTACCCTTTATTCTATATTCTTATACATATATTTTTTTAAATTTTATTTTTCTTCCTAATGTTACAGTACAAGCATGTGATTTTCAAAATTTTTATGAATCTATTTTTCATAAGCCTATTTTTTAATTGGTATTAAGAAATAACAGTAAAACAAAAAAATTTTTTTTCATCTATCTTTCTCTATCTCTACTATTATATTATATTATATTATATATTGAATAATGATGGTATATAATAGTATAATTTGGTTAAAAAATTGGCATATTGCACAATTACTTTCAAAAAGGTTTTTATACATATTCTTATATATTCTTACATAATTTCTAATCGAAATTAGATAAAACTTGATATAATATTGTGTGAATTATTAATATATATATATATATATGTGTGTGTGTGTAGTAATTAATTATAAGTATGAATATTGCTGTTATATGTCTTGAAGTCAAATTACTTATTAATGCAAATTATTGATTTATATAAAATATATTAAAAATAATGTATTAAAACTTATGATTATGATTATCTGCAATAGCCAGCGAGTTAAAACTTTGATAGGACTATTCTAAATCTTGGCATGCATGTCAGAAAAATAGATGCAATTTATCACGAATGTAGTAATATAGAATTTTTAAAAGTTCTAGTTGCATGCAAATTATGAAGATAGTAATTTTATATATTTTTACCTTATAAATTTTTGAAATTTTAACAAATATCCCTTTTTTATTTGTTTATATTTGTGATTTTAAATGTAATACATAAAATTAATCAATTTTATTTGAGTGTTATTTCAAAATTTCATTAATTATATTAATTACATTGTTAATGTTAAGCAGGAAAACTATTATAAGTGTAAATATGTGTCACAAATTCTCAATGCTTCACTTTACCTTATATTGCAAAATTTATTTTAAATATGACTATATTTTAAAATTAAGTTTATTCTTTTATTTACATTTATTATTTTTGCATGTAAGTTTTATTAACTATTCATTTAACATGAATGTAACATGAACATAAATTTTTATATAATATTTTATGGTTTATATATAATTTTAACATTTCAACGACATTAATGTATTGTAAAAATATTACATTGCTACAGACTGTTGCTCCTACTATTACTACATCTACTACAACCCCAGGAACAGTGACTACTGCACCTACAACTACTTCTACACCAACGGCTACCACTGTTCAAACAGCTCAAACTTCTACACCGGTATATTTCATCTCTATTAAGCTGAAATCCTTACAAATTACAAATTAGTAGCAATGTCTATTTTATTTGAAAAGTTTCATATAAAATTACATTTTATAGACTAAAATGATTTAATTTTATATGCTATTTGTAAAATAATTTGTAAAATAATTATGTCTCTTTTTTCTTTTAGCGTCAAACTACTGATAATACCAAAGAAAAGTGCCGTAAATTCTTAGCAAACTTATTAGAGTTATCTAGTCGAGAGCCTAAAGCAGTGGAACGCAATGTTCGAACTTTGATACAAGAACTGATTGATACTAAGGTCGAGCCAGAAGAATTTTGTGACAGACTTGAAAAATTATTAAATGCTTCACCACAACCATGTCTCATTGGATTTTTGAAGAAAAGTTTGCCTCTTTTACGGCAATCACTCGTCACGAAAGAATTGGTCATAGAGGGAATAAAGCCTCCTCCAGCCAATGTCGTTTTTTCTATAGCATCGGCTGTTGTTCCAACTATTACGGTAAAATAATTTTTGTATATGATATATGAAAAATAGAGTGAATATTAATTCATTTTTTGTATATAACAATAATAGCATAAGTATTATATAATATTAATAATATAATAATAATATATTAATAGTATAATAAAAATTAATTGTATACAAATAATATATTGTTATAAGATTATCACATCATTTTCTAACTTGTAATTATATATTGTATATTGTAGCAATCACAATACAGACCTGCAGTAGCAATATATATATTATATATATATTTATATAGATAAACAATAATTAATTTGTAAAACAATTCTAAGTAAGATATATTTATTAATCTTTTCTTAATTAAATGGGACACTTAGTATAATAGTATAGGAATAATTATGAGGAATTGTTTTAATAACATTAAAGTATGCGGTTTTTTTGTAATTTTTTACGAGTGCAATTTTTACGTGTACAATAACAATTACATCGTTTTAGGTTCGACCAGTAACGACGGTGGTTCGGAGCCCTACTGCAGCATATACAGTAAAATCGACAGTAGCAACAACTGGAATTCGCCCCACTGCCCCTGTTGTGCAAAAACCACCTATAATTACAACCACAGTTGTAAAACCAATCACTACTACGCAAGGAAAAACACTCAATACCACCACTACTGTTAATAAAGCCGTAGTGCCTTCTCTTGTTCAAAAACCGGCTGCGAAAGAGAAAGAGAAAAAGACGTTTTCATCAGCAGGATATACGTAAGTTTTATTGCCTAAGGGTGCTGTAAATAATTCATTATTGTGAGCAAATTAACAAATGAACGGAGATACGAGAAATATGAAGTTAATGCATACCACAATTATTATAAACTTGCAACATGTGATGTGATTTATTATATATTTATTATATTATATAGGGCGGATGATGACATAAATGATGTAGCAGCTATGGGTGGTGTTAATCTTGCGGAGGAATCTCAAAGAATACTCGGTTCTACAGAATTTGTTGGTACCCAGATACGATCTTGTAAAGATGAAGTATTTTTGCACATGACGTCATTACAACAAAGAATTAAACAAATTGGTAATTTAATTCCATTCTTTTTAGCATGACTGATCTTTACTGATAGAATAATATATAAGTTAATTCTAACAACGATATATATTTTATAGCATCCAGTCATGGATTGGAAGAACCCAATCAAGAAGTAGCAGCATTAATTTCGCACGCTGTTCAAGAAAGGTTAAAGAATTTAGTAGAAAAGTTAGCAGTCATCACAGAACATAGGATAGATCTTATAAAGGTAAAATTCATAGAGATCTTAAAATTTATGGAGAGAGAGAGGAACGTTATTTATTTTAAATGTTTGTATTTCTATTTATACAGATATTACTATTTATACAGATATAATTCGTAGATATCAATCTATTAATTAAAATTTTTTAAAATATTAGTGGATATTTTAGCGGGTTCTCTTTTTCGTTTTTATAATATTCTATCTGATTACAGGTCGATCCTAGATATGAAGTAACACAAGATGTAAGAGGACAATTAAAATTTTTGGAAGATCTAGATAGAATCGAACGTAGAAAACACGAAGAACAAGAACGAGAATTACTTTTACGTGCTGCAAAGAGTCGTGCAAAAACAGAAGATCCCAAGCAAGCAGAATTAAAAGCTAAGGCCAAAGAGGTAATATATAAATATTTACATTTCTGCATTCTATTATAAATTATGTTACGTAAATTCTAATTTTTTTCTAATAGTTTCTGTGAAGTTTATCTTTACATAATTTATTTAAAATGAATTTTTTAAAAATATTTTAGATGCAACGCGTAGAGATGGAACAATTAAGAACAAGGGATGCGAATATAACAGCTTTGCAAGCAATTGGTCCTCGTAAGAAGCCTAAACTCGATACGGCAGGATCGACCAATAGCACTCCTAGCGCAAATGCATCAGTGAGCGGATTAAATAGGCAAATGCCTATGAGACCACGTTTGAAGAGAGTGAATTTCAGGGATTTGATATTTCTTCTCGAACAAGAGAAAGAAACATGTAGAAGCACAACACTTTATAAATCATACTTGAAGTGATGCACTGTGAAGGGCAGGAACTTTAGTGACCCGCCCAAAATTTGGCGCTCTATCTGCATGGTCTTGTATGAGCTGGCCTCGATGGATCGTGCGACGTTATTTTACGTTGCAATGTATAGTAAGTTATTGGAAATTGCATATTATTGCAATGAAAATTATTGGGAATTAGCTTGGGAGTCTGCGTATATTCAAGGTAAAATTGTTTCCATCATGTCGATACTAAGCTTCCCTATTGTAAATGACTGAACATTTTTTAACTGTAGCATACGTTTTTTAAATGTAATATAATAGATCGCTCTTTATTTTTCAACACAAAATCGCATCGATGAAAAGAGTAATGTGTATGAGCACATGTCTCGTGATTAGTCTCTACGTAGTCCTTTCGTGGTGTGTGTGTGAGAGAGAGAAAGAAAAAAAGAGAAAAAAATCATGTATGTGTGACCATAGAAATATTGTTACATGAATGTGTGAATGTACATTAAATGAATGAATGTCTTGTCACTATGTGTAGGTTCGCTGCATTGTAATACTTGACCTATACTTTTGGACACTGTAGCGTTAGTGTAAAATAAGCAGGTTTTGTTATAATAGTAAATCGTATTTTTGCAAACTATAATGTAATAATAATACCGCGAGCACACTGTCCAAAAAGTATGGAATAATTTGTACAATATCTTACACATAATTACTAAATAGTGATAATTTCAATGTTGGTACAACAGAATATAGCTACTCTCCACCGGAAGTTGGAATTGTTATCAGTATATTATGTTGTATATTGCAATCAACATTTTCAGTGTTTATAAAAAAAATTAGCTGTTACGTTTTTTATTAAAGAAATATTTACAAAACTAAGAATAACCAATATTTTTTTGATTGATGTTAATTTAATTATTTATATTTCCTTCTCGGAATTTTGGTGCGGATTCTGCTAATAATGAACTTTTGCAGAAATACTTTGCATAATAAATTAAAACAAATTCAAAGCGAGTACCTGATTTACATGTAAAAAAGTAGCCACAAATGTACGTGGTGCCTGAGATCATAGAGAACAATGCTTATAAAATATCTATTTTTTTGATTCTTTCGTGATGTCGGTTTATATTATATTATTTATATGTCTGTATTTTTTTCGACGGTCAAGAAAGTTATATATATTAGTCATAATTAATGTTTTATACACATAAAACATATGATTAATCTTTGTAGCTTTACATCATATTGTTTGCAACGTAATGTGAAACTATTTGTGCAATACAAGCACATTTTTAGTAGATATTTTTCCCTTGTATCACAATTGTTTTACAGCTCTCATGTTAATCTTTCATATATTTTGATAATACCTTTATTAAAATATTTTACTTCATGTTGCTTTAATTATCAATTTTTGATATAACAGTTTATATCATCAAGATTTATATTACAGTAAAAAGAAATCTCACGTACTTTCGAGTACTGCCAATCTTTGAAATGCCTCTTATGAAATAGTATAATGTCGCCTTTATTACTAATCCATACATAAGTGTTGATTGAATTATTTGGTATAAGATATATATTGTTATATGGAATATGTTTATGTATTCTATGCTCAAAGTCGAGAGAAAATAATTTATATCAACATTTAATATTTAGCAATTTCTGTGCTTCCAATTTGAATAGAAGAGCACAATAAAATAACATTTCTATTATAATATATTCCGACGTATGATGACGTTTCTTAGCTTTCAGGTATCAATAAACAGAATGGAGAATGAACGCGTGTAATAGTCACAATTGTTAATTATTGTTACACGCAACAATTGGTTTAATTGGTCAACGGTTTCACGTAGAAAAGACTGAACAAATATAATGTGTAAAGAAGATAAGTTTGGACATATGAATTGTAATGTATTATAGCACAAAACTTATGTGTAATTGGAAAAATATCGTTATGTAGAATTTCATACATCTGAAGCGTTAATATGGGAGGGATAATCGGAGGCGACATAATTTACGTACGTATTTGTATAAGTACTTCAATTACTTTTTTTTCTGTCATTACAATTGATTTGATCATTTTTGAGAAAACTATTGCGATTGAGCAGCATTTACATATGCTAAAATTTAAACTAAAAATAATACCCACCTGATCTATCTAATTAATATTCAAACAATCTGTCGTGACAGAAATGGCAATGTGTATACCTTGTGTAAATAAGTCGTTTTTAATAATTGCATACTTTATTTGGGAAGCGTTTGAAATCATTATGTACCAATTTTTGCTGAGCACATCGCGTATAGAAATCCTCACTTAGCTATATTGTCCTCTTTGCAATTATTATAACGTTTTTTACAAATTCGAAGTAAAACATAAAACGTGCATAAATCGTAATGTTCTCTTTACTGCCAGTAGGTGGAATATTAATTAATATATCTATAAATAGAGAAGAAGATTATGAAAAGATAACAGTACATTACAATTTTGGTACATTATGATATTTTTATAAATTGTACTGGGTAAGCAGAGTAAGCGTGAGATAATAAAATATAAGAAAACAAATCTCGTCGAAATGCAAATCACATTTCTTTATTTTTTAGTGTGATATTATCTTTAGTTCTATAATGTATTAAAGTGATTATTAAAAATAGAATTTTCCTTTTTATATTTTTTATATTACAGAAATATTTATGTTGAATATTTTTTGGAAAGAGCAAACGTTTAATGATAAATATAACCGTAGGATTTTAGCCAAGTTAATGATATTCTAATTTGCGTCAAACAAATCTTTAATTTTTTTTATGAGCTTTTAAATATTTTTGAAGTTTTTTTTCAACAATGACTATTTATGCACAAATGCGAATTTTGATATTTATGATATTGGAACATATCTGGCGCGAGTATATATCTGTAGTTTATATTATTTCTTTTTGAACATATCCATTTTGGAACTTTACGCGTTTCCAAGTTTAAATAATGAACGATTTATCTCCAATGTTATAATGTTAGCCTAGGTCATTAGCCTATTACGCAATAATCTTCAAAATTTTTATTAACTCTCTCAGAGTAGATAGTACCATCACTTCACAAAACATTTCTCTCTTTCTATGATATTTTGATCTAAACTAAATAGGAGAGAACAAATGTATGCGAGATGATAATGATAGTTACTTCTTTAATATAAAGTGTAAAAAAGAATCCGATGTAATTTTATTACATACAATTTATATATAAATGTATATATATTATTGATCGTAAAAAAGAATTTTAAATAAAAAGATAATTAAAGGTAATAATTATAAATGAAAAGATTAGAGAATAAGTTTTAGAAGAGATGGTAAAAATTTCTCGCATTTATATACACTTTTCCTGATGTTCACTCAAAACAATTTTCTTTTCAACTTATGTAAATTAGTCTACATTTATTGTATCATTAATTTGTTATATCTATTAATTTAAGTTCTTGAAAGCTCTTGAAAACTTTTCTTCATGTGTAACTGAAGTCGAATTAATTTTGCAAAAACGAGAGAACGAGATGAAGATGAAAGTAGTACGTGATAGAATAAAGTGTAAGATGTTTTGCAAAGTATTGGCTGCAGACTTTTTTAAGTGGATCAATGACGATGGAAGTTGAGGATATCTTTGAATTTCATATCTATCTAAAAAGCCTGTTTTTCACGTAGCCTGTGGCTTCGTGTTGTGTATATTGGAAAACTCGGTATTAAGATGGCCAGGGCGATCCAGAAATGGAATATAATCAGTTCAACAAGGGAGAGAGAGAGAGAGACATCGAGAGAGACGAGACGCAGAGAAACAGAGGAAGAGAGAAGAGTGAAAGAGCGAGCAAGAGAAAGACAGAGAGAGAAGAACATTTCACCGGATGGATTCGAGGGATGACAGCCCTAGGCTAGTGAAACCCTCGGGCGACTCGGATATTGAGTTCATAGTAACCATGGAGACGGGGCCCGAGGGCACGACGTTTGTGCGCTTTATCCCTTATTCCCGCTGTTATGTGATCAACGCGGTCCCAATGAGTCTCTTACTTTGCCTCTCACGTACATGCTTCATTCTTGCTTAGCTGCGTCAAACTGATCAAGCTATATATATTTCCTAAATTTTTTTTAGTGAATTTTCTCTATTTCTATTTTAGATTTTCTACAGTATAAAATAATAACGGTAGTTATATTAAAATATTGATACAATATTACGCTTTAGTATGCTTAACGTTACGTGCAGTCAATTCTTTTAAATAAATATTTTTTAATTTATGAAAAGTTTTCGATGCATCTCCTTATCGTTTTCTCTTGCTCTTTTTTTTTGAATAAGGCAGCAGAAAAATAATTTTTTTATGATTACGCTTTATCATGTTTTTTTCCGCTCTTTTCCCGAAATGGTCAGTCTTTTACGAAATTATTCAATTCCTGACTTTTGGGTGAGATCCAGGAACTGTAGGATTGTCGTCGCACATTCTTGAACAGGGTTCCGGTTGATCGTCTAGACACCGTAAACCAAATGCAATTTCACCAGGAATTTCATGTGGAATTTGTGGTCCCTCGTCGTTGCCAGACGTAAGCATGCGTTACCAGATCTTTGAATAGAGCTTGACGAGAAGACAGCCCTATTTAGAGGTTTGATGAGAAAACTCGATATTGCTTGTAGCATTGTAATCTTGTGCCATTACGCTGAAACGCACGATAGTCATTACGGCGAACGAATGTTTAATAATATATGTCTATCTATATAAAATAATATAATAACGATAATATAATAACGATACTTATTAAAACTAATTACGTTAATTCACGCCACACATTTGAAATTACAAGCCAGTTGATATATCCTTAATGATAAATTCTGTTTATTTTTGCCAAGATACGAATTTCTTATATTCATTTCTACCAATGCAGATTAACTTTAATCTCAGCTTTTTTTTTATTTGTTTCTAATTTTAAGAAATTCGAAGAATAAGAAAGAAATAAAAGAGTAAATTAGCGAGTTAATTAAAGTTAAACCTTATTGATAAAAGTGGATATTATTTTTGGAGAACAGTTTGTTCTCCAAATATAAAAAAAGTCGATTTATTTTTTTATACTTCATTTATTACTATTTTTTTTTACAAATACTTGAATTAGATTCGCTAATCGCCTTTTGAATTTTGCGCCAGATGTAATTTGAACGTAATCTGTTTGCCACCTTCACGCCGAACGCGTAGAAGAAATACACGGATCAAATCAAATCGAGTAGTTCAATTAACAACAAGTCATCATTCCTTGATAATATTGATAATATATTTAATAATACATAATTCCTATTTTATTTATATTTTCGAAATGTCTTGCGCTTGGATTACATACTTTCGGATAATTAGTTGCATCCTTTTTAACTGTTAATTTGACTCGCGTTGTGGCGTGCGTATTGGGGTGAAGTTGCCGTCAATTTCGTAAATTTTCCGTTGTCGTTAACGGATCGTAAGCCGTGGCATCGCGACGCGTCGTGAAGTAGTGAGTATAGTCGTAAATGTAACAAATATCGTAAAAATCGTGAATAGGAATAATCGCGCAATGTAAAAAGTGGTAGAGAGATCCAAGATCTATCGAGAATTCGTTAAAATAACGCATATTTCGCGAGATTGTTTGGTCGAGAATCGTTGCGCGAGTGCGTTGATCGATGGAGACGCGATGTCTTCAGATATCGTATCTTGTGGATTTAGTGCTTTTTTATTCATATATTTATTTATGCTACTCGTGTTACTTAATCATCAGAATGTGTATATCATAAATATCGTTATAAAACATAAGTGATGTATTGTGATGAAAAGTGCGAAAAGTGTGTAAAGTGCTGCAGGGAACAAGTGAGCATCGTGATATTGGTGACGATGTCGTCCTTGACGCGTGAAGTTGGCCGCGAGATCTACAATTTCCCGCCTCCGCCATATTAAATCCGTTGCGTCTATTCGTGCGACATCGCGGATCGTAATCGATGTCGAGTGGATCGTATCTCTATGCGATCGTATCTTGTTAGTAATATTCTTCCACCGCGGTCTCGTGAAGTGCACGTTGCGTGTGAGAGTGTCGTCGGAAGTGCTGTGCGGAGTATTGTACGAGTGTAAGATTTGTTTGCATACTCCAACAAGCTCCAACATGCTCCTGCCATAGTTCTCACTTTCTACTCACTCTAATGAGTACATTGGAGTAGGAGCTATGATAGGAGCATATTAAAGCATGTTCCTTTACATTGAGTATCTCTATATTGAGCTCTAACATGCTCTAAAATGCTCCTATCATAGCATTTATTGCGCTAACGCGCTTGTTGAAGTGAGTAGGAGCTATAGCAGGAATACATTGGAACATGTTGGAGAATACAACGCGAACAAATCTCTATATTTTGCCAATCAGTGCGAGATTGTGTCTATCATGTTTTTGCAAGTGAATATTGTTAATCATTATCCTCGAGAATTTCGTGCAAGTGCCATAAAGGAATAGCAAGGCGTTGAAGGAATAGTGGAGATGCTGTGAGAGAAGAGACCAGAGGAGTACCAGTGGAACAATTGTACGGTTAGTGTAATTATTATTTATTTGTTTATTTAGAAATATTCCAAATAAATAAAGAGATGCTCCTATAAAAGGGGGCAAGGAGAAAAGAAATTGAAGACAGAAAGAGGGAGATAGATAATGTGTAAGAGAATTGAACAAGATTGAATTGAATAAACGTTCAATCAATGTTTTTTGGAATTTGACTTTATTACTCAGCGGTAGAGATTATCATTTTAAAGATTTTTGAACGCGCCTTTTCATAATACTTTGCTATTAATAACGAAAGAATTTGTTATCAGTATATCGCATTGGTAGTGTGAATGAGCGACAGTTTTGTCAAATGAACTCCGTGCGACTGTAGTGTTATTTGTCCAATGAATCTTTCACGGATTATTGATCGGTATTCATAGTCAGATCATATATTCAAGATCATCTTAAGTTCTCAGTCTTGAGATGTCATGAACCAATCAAAGGGTTGCATTAGCGTTTTAAGACATTTAAGATGGTCTTGAAATAAGAACTGACTATGAATACCAGCCATTGCCTTATGCTGGTTTATGCTTTGGTTTTAACCCTAAGATGTTAAAATTCAGCCAATGGAATATAGATTTCGGTTAGGACTGGCAGCATAATTGGCTGAATTTTAGAATTTTAGGACTAAGATCCGAAGCATAAATCCAATTATATATTATAGATAACTTGATTAAAATATACAATATATTGTAATTAATAATTACTAGTGACTTCAATTATTTTCCACACAGTAATATTCTTTTAAAATTAAATATCCGTTTGTGAAAGATGATAAAGATATTAGTGTGTGTGATAATTATTTTTTAAGATGTTATTGAGACACTGTTTTAATTTGTATATTATAGGTTAGTGTATAATTACAGTTTCGCTGCTATGCGTCTTGTGCTGGTGAATTAAGTTATTATTTTATTTTCTTATTTTATTCTGAGATAATGGAGTTATATATCAAAGAAGTTAATATATCAAATGTATGTATAAGACATGAATATCATGAAACAACTGCAAAGAATTAAGTCTTTTTCTGGCAATCATTTAGCCAGATTATTTAATATCTTAATATACATATATATTTTATATACTTTGAATTCTCGTATGTTTTTAATCACGATACGTATAAAATTATACATATAAATTACAAATTGTAAAATTTACTTACAAAATAATACTTACAGAACATTTAAAGTAGCTCTTAGTAGTTTCTTAGGGATATAAATTAAACTTGTATTTTATTGGTTACTTGAAGCAGTAAATTTTTATGTTGATTTATTGCAATAATTAGTTTTTGGTAGAGAATAAAATATAATATTGTTTTTATTTTTATTGTGTGGCTAAATAAAGAAAAGAAGCTCCTAGAAAGAGAAGCACGTCATTATTTTCAATTTTTTTATTATTAACTTATTATTTGATTGTAAAAAGAAAAAAATATAGAGAATGTATTTAAAAAATTGAATATGACTGAATTAAACGAACGTTCGATATAAACAATATTTTTTTAGAATTTGAATTGTTTTCATTTCAATTATATGGCATTATTAATCTGCAATTACGTAGCAATATATGTGCAGAACGATAGTATTGACACATCAAAATAGAAACAATTTAAATTGGTACATCAAAATAAAAACAATATAAATAATTTAATTCAAAAATTCAATATTAAGCAAACATTTTGCGTTTCTATGTTAGCATTTCAAAATTTTATCTTCTCTATTAAACCATTAAAAATTTCTTACTCGGTCTATCCTCTAATACCAATGGAATGGAATCTAAAGAGTAAAATCTCACTTTAAAAAATTGACAATTGAGTCATTCTTTTTCAACACTGTCTCAACTGTCGCTCTTTGTTACTTTTTAGAATTAGATTTCACTTCAAAGATTTTAGAGAATAAATGGAGATAATTAATAATCGAGAATTAAAAAATCCCATTGTTACAAGACATCCCGTTGTCTTGTGACAAATTTTTCTGATCTCCATGTTATGCTAGCTATTTTGTTCAACTGTTAATTTTATTGTATGAGTAAAACTCTTTTGCTTCGGGCGTGACGCAACATCCATAGCAATCGAGAATTGATTGCGAATGACAATAATTTTGCAGTCTCTGTATCTATACGCGGTTCTCAAATAGAAAATTTATTGTCTGTATTCTAGAGAAAAAAAAATATCGATTGTCCTGTATTGTTCAGTCTCTCGGAAAATAGGCAGTGATAATTAAACTATTTATAAAAATCAGTAACTGTTGTAAAAAATCAGAATGACATATTTCATTGGAGTTTCATCTTGGACATTAAAGAACATGTGTATGAAACAATAAGATTGCTACATCTTCCTGAAACGTAAAATAAATATTTTATTAAATCAGTTATGATATTTATAAGATTTCTTAGCAATTATAGAGAGAGTTCGCTCTTTAATTCTTAATAATTAAAAGAGCACGTATAATTTCGTCAGTGTTTATCTCAAAAAGATTTAGGTAATATTTTTTCCTGCTGTTTTCCTTTCATCTTCATGGTGAAAGATATAACTTGATTATCTCTATGAAGATTTTAATTTAACTTACTTTCAGTATAATCAATGTATATCGATTATTTCGTTGTTTTTTGATTCTTTCTCACACATGATTTTAGGCAGAATACCATATGTATATTCATGTTTATGCTACATTTATATATGTATAAGTGTATTTAGTTCTATATGTGTATGTATATACACGTTTATTCGCAATATTTACAGTAATTAGTACGGCGTTTAAATACATATAGGTACACTTTATTAAATAATAACAATGTTAAAAATCAACGCATCTGATATTCTCAAACGCAAATCGTAACACGAGGAATGGACAACGATGTTTACAATTGCGCGTACCATTCCTAATAGCGTTAAAAGCGTGCAGAAGACAGTACGACATATTGTTGATTCACTTTTTCAAGCTGCGTAATGGCTACATCTCTAGTTTCTGTGACACGTGCATTTTTTACAATGAATGAAAACGGACATGGAATTATGTGTATACGGTTAATATTGGTGGCTTAGGCTTTCTTGTGGATCACATGGTACATCGTTGCCATTATTTAGGCTCGCTATACACTGTTGACTTGCCTATATTTTTTAGATGTGACTCAATGTGATCGTTGTTATCATAAAATATTTCGAGTCAAATAATCTATATATACTTAACTATCTATATACTTAATTATACTTACTTTAAAAATATTCGCAATAATTTATTTGATATCTTCTCACGATCAACAACGATCCGTTTAAATCACATCTAAGCGTGAAAGGTCGCAACTGCAGATAAATGCCAATGTAATACTTAAATGATTTTTTTAAAAACGGCTTGTTATGATTAGAAACTTTTTATAAATTTATAAAAACTCATTCCAGTAGAATATATATATATATATATATATTATCATGCATATATAATTGTTATATATGTAATAATTACATAAAATATACATTTATAGTAATTATATACGTATAATTACTATATTATATATATTATAAAATATATATATATATATATTATATATACATATAATATACATATTTTTTGCGAATACATTAAATATTTTTGATATTCTAAAATACATTGACTTTAATTGTCCTCAAATTTCTTACTAAAAAATCTATTCTTTAATACATTTTTGAAATTTTATGCTGATTATTAAATTTACTAGTATACCGTCAGAATGTAACGAGTTTTAAATTTGCATATCAATAGTTTTTATGATTATTTTATTATTAAAATAATCGATTAAGCGCCTTCAACGTCAACTATTTCAGATTCAGACTATAATACATGCAAATAATTCTTTTAACTTACGTGTGTATACAAAACGAGACGTTGCTATTTGACAAAGTTAGTTTGTAAAACGAATGTAAATTGATGTAAATTGCAAAACTCATTTGCACTCTTTTATTCACTTATTCACTTTTTCATGATTCGAGATACAGTGTTGAGTGACTTTAATGCACGTTACGAGATCTTCATATTACTATAAATATTTCGGCATCAAACAGCAGTTGCGATTGGCAGGCTTCTATCCTTGTACCGAGATGCTCCGCTCTGTTTTGTTAGAATAATCAAAATATCCGCGATGCAGTCTTGAGGTGTTCTCCTGGACAGTTGCACTCACTCTAAGTCGTAGTCACGCTGCAGGCAGCGGATCGACTTGGAGATCGTTTTGCGCTGATGCGCCATGCTCCGTCAAGTGTTGACGGCTTGCCTGACGAACAGGTACTCCGAGAATTGTTGGCCTTCTACGCCGCCGCCGTTGCTTGCCACTACCCGGAAACCGGCATTCAGCAGTCTGGTGATCGCCTGAACGGAGTTCAATTTGCAGTAGCCGTTTAGTGGAAACCGGATGACATGACGGGCATCCTGTTGGTGCCAAGCAACGCCGGATCGCGCATCAATCACTGCTTGTGTCGTTTCCGGAAATACCTCGTCCAGCAGCGCCCGTCCTCCTGACAGCATTACTCGCTCGCCCAGATCCGGGCTTACGTGTAACGCTACGCACTCGTAGCTGCAGTTCCCATCATTGCCGCGCATTTTTTCAGAATCACGATTGCAAGGCGCGGTAGTGCAGGCAGTGCCACGACTACCGAGCTGACCAGAAGGCGGGGGACTTGGCGAAGTTGTGGTCATTGTCGAACCGTTCTTTATACGCTCCTTCTTCATCTGCTCCAATTGCCTGCACATAGCTGAAATAAAAAAAAGATGCGCGTTACATTCGGGGAGAATATTTTAACGCGACAAAATGATCTTGTTTTTTTTAAATAGGATTATTATTTAGGGGGGGGGGGGAGAAATTATGGGATAAACTATAATTTAGGTTAAAATTAAAAGATAAGAGGTGTAGGTTAAATTAATATTAATAAAAAAAGATGATTTCGCAAATAATGGTAGTTTGCGATATTGATAATTAGATCATGGGAGCTCAGGAGATTTCGTCTCTATTGACAATATTATAGTCTCCTTTGGTTATATAATAAATGGGTTTAATAAATTATTGAGTGTTTGAGGAAATTTTGCACGTAAAATGCGATTTTTCTCAAAATGTACATACTGATTAGTGTCCCGAGGGAGTATATTTCATTACCTCATTTTTTAAGTATTCACAATTCTATATTATTCCAGCAATCGAGTAAACGACTACTTTAGAGTTTGTTATTACTATTCCATTATAGTTGAGCATTGCATAGACGGTTCGGAAGTCGATTAAGAGATTATTATAGAAGAGAAATGATATATCGCGATTTATATTAAGAACGAAAGGCAAATTCATCATCTTTGTTTTATTATGCGATTGAAATCGTGGTTTCCGTATCTTTCTTGCACGTAAACAATTCAATTACGGGTGTTGAAGTAAAAAAAAACACAAGAAATGAAATTAACGAAATTTACGCGCAATATCGAAGTATCGTGCTTCTTCCAGCAGTAAATCTAGGTCGGCAAAGTTGTCGGGTATCAGCAGCCGGGAATTTCGCATAAAATTCAATATGTGCCGGAACATGCCGCCGTCTCTATCGATGAAGTAGTGTTGTTTTAGCGAGTCCAAAACGATAGGGATGCTGCCGTTAAACAATTTTGCTAGCCTGGATTCCGGGTATCTGGAAAAAATCACAAGATTTTTTTTTAAAAATAAGATTGTCATGTGTGAAAGTTATAACTTTTATAACTCATAAGCATTAATCAGTGATTGAAAGTATGAGAAAATTTCGAGAAAGTATTATCGTGTTTGATTCATGAGACTTCAACTTCGAAATTGTTACGTGACTGATGCATACGTAATCATATATAATTGACATTATTTATAAAAATTGATCTGATATCTGAAGTTATGAGAGTTCGATGTACACGGATTGCATATTTAATGTCATGAAAATTACACTTTCTATCAACTAACAGCTAACTAAGTGTTGGGCAGGTGCTGACACTTTGGTCACCTGCCAAAATCGCTTCAGGTAGCTGCGTGCTGTTTTCGCGATTGATGGTTGTGTACAAGCAGCTGTTCATTTAATAAATTCCGACTCGACGCACTGACTGAATTAAGTTTGAGCAGTAAGTTATAGTTATTATGAGAGCTCGAGAAGTGAATCATGATAACATTATCTTAAAGAAATTGATTAAACGCCTTCTTGAATCAAAAATATATTCAGATTTTTAAAAATAGATATTCAGATTTTTTAAAGTAAATATTAAAAAAAATCTGAATATGTGAAATATTCGAAAAATAGGAATTGAATATCTTCATGGATAAAAACGCAAATGTAGAACAAAAATGACATTTCCAATCAGAAAAAAATTCAACCATTAATAAAATCCATTAGCCGATCATTTATCGGAAGGTTTCAATTTAATTCAGTTTAATTAAAAAAGTCGTTCATTATTGAAAGAAAACAACGAAATAGAAAAGAAATATAGATAGAGAAGAATTGAAGCGGGAATTTGTTACGCGTGAACGAGGACAGAGCGGTAGGATCGTAAAGACAGCATAAGATACGCGCATGAAATCTACTTTAACAGATATGCAGATGCACGTGTGTGTATGGTTCTCGAAGTAGCAAGTCCATGCACCGTATGTATCACTTTTTCCGGCTTCTTTAGAAAGTGCCCGTGACATTTTCGAACGCGTTTCACAACATGTTCGCGAATGCTGCATCGTTCAAAGTAGGCTGCAGCTAATCTTCTTACTACATCTTTGCGCTCTACCGTTGCCGTTACGATATCCCTTCCGTGCTTCGCAATTACATCTCGAAGATAATAAGAATAATGTAACGTTTCGTTACGCATTTAATCTCGCTATAAATTAAAGCTATGAAATTATAGAAAAGATGGGCCCTGACAAGGAAAAATTATAATTCTTATTCTTTTTTTATAGCGAGATAAATTTAATTAAGTGTCTTAAGAATTTAATTATTAGCAACGATATAGAAAATCATTGTATATTTCCGAGGAAAAACGTGTACTATTTCTGATCCCCCTCCCCCTTATATGTAATTTTCTTAAATGGACATCTAATTTAGTTCTTATATCAATTTAATAATGAGAAATAATTATTTTTCTTATAGTATTTCACTTTATTAATTTCGCCTGGTTTTTTTTTAGCGCTCATTATTCTAACACTAATGATGAAAAATGATAAGCTTCTTATTTCTTCGATAATACTTGACATAATTTTTATATAAAATTAAAATTCTCGATATGCATGTAAAAGATGGTTATACCGTAAAAGTTCGAAAAATTTGAAAAATCGTGGATTGTCCGATATCCTGTTGTCTGTAACGAAGGTTAATAATGTCACGACCTCGTAAACGAATCACACTTATGGAATCCGTGTCAATCAGCTTCACGGCGTTTGTTCGCATGCGTTCTCATACGTGCCGTGAGCGATGCTGTGTTCTGCATGCACCGCCGAAGGTCGTCGTAATTTAGCATATAATAGACGAATGATCTGGGAAAAGGACGAGATGGAAGAAGAGAAACGGAGGGGGGGGAGGAGGGGGGACGTAATAGGGAAAAGGACGGTTGGAAGAAGGTTGACTCTAAGGACCACGATGCGACGAGAGAGAAAGAATCGGCTCTCCTCTCTGTGTATCTCGTCGTTGTGCGTTATGGCACAACGAGGGGGAAATACCGAGGTAGGTACCTGGTACCCCCTCAGGCCGGTTCCCATACCTTCCATGGCGATAACATATAATAACGACGGCCTCATGGAGCCTGTGGGCGATCTGACTTCAGCGAGGAAGAGAGAAGACCGCGGGGTAGATACAAAGGTATACATATATGGAGACTCTCTCTCTCTCTCTCTCTCTCTCTCTCTCTCTCTCTCCCCCTCTCTCTCTCTCTATCTCTATTTCTATCGCTATCTTATTCCCTCTTTTCATCCTTCGCCCTTTTTCTTTCTCTTTCTCCCTCATGATCTCGCTTTCTATCGACTTCCCACTGATACTTTGGTGTAAGAGGATAGAGAGAGAATCGCTGTTAGAATGGGGAAATGAAAATCGCTGGATTTTACCTCAAAGCGTGCGCGAAATTTTATACGGTATAGTTAATTTTCTATAGAATATCGAAGCGAGTTATTGTAAGGGAAACTTCACTCTTCCTCGGTGAACAAATCCCTTCTCTTTCTTCGCTGCAATTGCCGCGGGTAAATTAAAATTCACACTGTAATTTCGGCCAGTGAAGACGTGAAAATGGTATACTCTCTACTATTTAAATGAATATTATTATTATCTCTTTTTTTCTTTCATCTATTATGCGAGACAATTTCCGAATATTTTTTTGTATTAATAATAGATTGAAACATTTTAAATGCAATAATAAACGTTATAGGATATATTCTTAAGAAATCGAGACACAATCAAAAATATCAATTTATATAAACTTCTCTCTAGAACATAGAATTAATTTACTTTCAATTTTCAAAATCCTTTAACTTTGTGTTTGATTTTCTCAACAAAGATGTAACAAGTATGTTTATAAAAATGGAAACGGATGGAATAACTTGTATTAAGAATCAGAAAACAAGAGAGAAAGTGCGAAAGTGATATCGTCAAGAGAAGCGAGAACAAGATATGTGTGCTCGTAGGCCAAGGGCCATTGTTGTTTGTGGAGGTCTGAACGACTGAAGAGGGGTGATAGGGCGGGGGAGGAAATGGTACCGGGGGCGGAGGACGAGCACCGTGATTACCCGCGGCGATTTCTTGGGCCCACCGACCAACCGAGGTCCGATCCCGGGTCAGATCCGTTCGCTATGGGAAAACGCTAAACGATCGGCTCACATCACTCAGATTCCGCTCTGCTTTCGATGTGTATAGAATATGTTCGGAGTTGTGTGCATTTTACTAGTTATTCCTCGACAAATTTCGAATTGACTTTCCCTCAAAGATTCGTCGCGAGATTTAATTTTGGAGACTTATTAAACCACGGTAAATTAATTACGTAAGGGAGACTGGGGTCAAAAATACAAATGCGTAAGAAAGAAATAGAAGTTTATAATATATTTATTACAAACTTCTGTCTTCCTTATTGCATATACTTGCATATTTTGTTTATAACGTTTTTTTATATAAGTGTTACTTACCCATGTTTACCCACTTTTGACCCCAGTCTCTCTTAAAGTTATAGAAAAATAAGAAGATATTTTTGATAAATATTTAATAAAATAAATTTTATTTTAACAAAATTTTAATGTGATATATGAAGATTTTTAACTAACAATTAAGAATTTCGATTTATACAAATAAAATATTTATCCTTGTTTTCGCTTAATTATCTGAGCTTTTTTAATGACTAAAAAGATTGTTGTATATAGAAGTGTTTTCACCAGTTTGAAATCTTGTGCGATAAATCGTACTTTATGAACGAAAATAAAGATAAGCGAATGCGCTCATGTGTGGCTGACGCATATGCAGAGATACGTGTGAGTTCGAGAACGAGACGGGCGGTGTCCGCCGAGACATTCCGTTATATCCCACTAAATTGCACGTGTCCGACTAGAGGGCGAGGAAATGACGACTTGGTACTTCACCATGGGATACCCTCGAGGCCTTGTACAGCCTTCTCAACCGGCAGGATGATCGACGATGTTTTAGGGATTATGTGATACCGGAAGCGTGGACTAATGATCGACTATTACGTCATTCCTGTAAACGCTTGGTAGAAAATGCGATACGTAACGATTAATCTTTCGCAAGGCACGTGGAATCCGCCTTAGGAGTCCAATATGGTTACATTATGAACTAAGGATTGTACATGATGATTAAAAAAGTAATTGTGGATTTCATAATTGAAATTCAATTAGTAAAGTGATTCATTCAGAAATCATGATATTATCTATACTTAAATTTAAATAATACATTTTTGTTATAAAATTTTCAAAGGAGAACTTAAAAAGATTACAACGTTGAGAATAATATTTTATCGATTAATTACTTAATATTAAATTGTTCTTTAAATAAATAATTATTGGCGGATGTGTTTTGTTAAAATATTATTTCAATTGCAGAATAATAATTGCTCTAAAACGTAATTTACTAAGATTTGATTTAAACTGACAGATTGATTAAGCGACAAATTCAAGCAACACAATTACGTTAAAAATACGTTTAATAAACGTTAGAAATTGTGTAATAAACGTATAAACTGAAAAATAAATGTTTAAAATTTGATACGTTTTTAAATTATTCAATAAACGTTATTAAAACATTTATAAGACATTTGTAACGTTTAAATGTTTTATACTAGTTTAAAATAACGCTTTTATGAGACACTTCGACGGTTTAATAAACGTATATTTAATAACGTCCATTTATACAGCATAAAACCGTTTCGGCTAAATGTTTTTTAAACTTGAATTATCTGTTTGGAAAAGTAATAATGTAAGAAAACATAAATAATATAATCACAGCATAGAACCAAAATAAAGCATTAATAAATTTTTGAACGCGTAATATACAGTGCAAGAATTGCATTTTCTGTTTCGAAAAATGAAATCATACATATTTTTATATATTAAGTAAAAACAAGTTAATGAATATCGCGTTTTCGGTATACAAACCTGCGGTTATCGCATAAATAGACATTTACTAATTAACATCGTGCTAGG